CGCCCGTGTCAGCATGTGAATGACATCAATTAAATATGCCGCCCGTGTCAGCATGTGAATGACATCAATTAAATATGCCGCCCGTGTCAGCATGTGAATGACATCAATTAAATATGCCGCCCGTGTCAGCATGTGAATGACATCAATTAAATATGCCGCCCGTGTCAGCATGTGAATGACATCAATTAAATATGCCGCCCGTGTCAGCATGTGAATGACATCAATTAAATATGCCGCCCGTGTCAGCATGTGAATGACATCAAGTAAAATGTCAGATTCAACATCACTTTTTAAATGCACAGTCACGGGCGTAGGAAGTTGGGGGGTGGGGGGGGGAAGGGGGTTGAACATGTGGTCCAATCGCGGGAGGCACTTATTTTGGGGCCTAATTTCGGTCCAGTTCATACACTTTATACAGCTTATTTTTACGCGTATTTTCTGTGCATTGTGGCTGTTTCCGTTAATTACGGTCGGCAATATCAGGGACCTGCCCTGGCGTCACACGCTCTAGTTGCTCCACTGTTCATAGCTCAATGTACTTACGATGTAGGCTTTAACTGTATAGCCAAATCGTTTTTCACATACGTACATACACGACATAAGTGATCTCAGTTTTGAGCTAAATCAAAGTGTGGGGTTTTTTTGGGTTTAATTTTTAAAAAAAACACTTTATTACACCGGAGAAGAGTTTGTTTTTGGTGGCTTTATCGTTATGATCAGAACATTGAGCTGTTTGTCTTGTTTTTGGTGGCTTTATCGTTATGATCAGAACATTGAGCTGTTTGTCTTGTTTTTGGTGGTTTTATCGTTATGATCAGAACATTGAGCTGTTTGTCTTGTTTTTGGTGGCTTTATCGTTATGATCAGAACATTGAGCTGTTTGTCTTGTTTTTGGTGGCTTTATCGTTATGATCAGAACATTGAGCTGTTTGTCTTGTTTTTGGTGGTTTTATCGTTATGATCAGAACATTGAGCTGTTTGTCTTGTTTTTGGTGGCTTTATCGTTATGATCAGAACATTGAGCTGTTTGTCTTGTTTTTGGTGGTTTTATCGTTATGATCAGAACATTGAGCTGTTTGTCTTGTTTTTGGTGGCTTTATCGTTATGATCAGAACATTGAGCTGTTTGTCTTGTTTTTGGTGGTTTTATCGTTATGATCAGAACATTGAGCTGTTTGTCTTGTTTTTGGTGGTTTTATCGTTATAATCAGAACATTGAGCTGTTTGTATCCAGCAGCGTCTCACAAAATATCTCAACACTAGGGCTGAAACGGGTGCCCTGTTTTGTTTACATCGCATCCGGGTATTTTGACAAAATACCCGGTTGGTCCAAGTGTTACAAATAGCCAATAACAATTATTTAACCGAAGGCGAATTTGTTAGCCTTTGTGGCGACCAAACTAGCATTCGTAATGTCTCTCAATAAATAATTATGACGTTAAAATAAATGATGTTAATATACTTTTGTGATTTAATTCCAATTTCCCAAAGGTTAATCTTTTTTTTTTTTTTAAATCATCAAATTTATAAAGATACTTGAACATTTGATTTTATTGTCAGGCATGTCTATATTCATATCCTTACTAGTGGTGATGGTGAACAATGCTGTTGAACTGGTGGCGTAGCTAAGGTTACTGCCGATAATTTTGCCGCCACTTTTCGAAAAAACTCTTCAGTTGGCCAAAAATACCACTACTTCATATAAAGAAAAAAGTTCCGTTTGGAGCCCCCTGCGTACCCCTTTCCTATGCCCCTGTGTTGCGCAACGACATTGTCAACCAACGACTCTTATTTTGTGTGGATATGTCCTTGACCATGACGAGAGATAGTTCTCTTTAAAGTACGGCATTGTTTTCGCGTTGTACACAATGGTGCTGCTAGGGCTAGTGGATCACCACACAGCACCCCCCCCCCCAACTTCACACACCACTGGTTGTACATCCTTGAACTCCCCCCCCCCCACCCCACATGACCCAAAGGGAATTTTTACAGCAGACGTGTACGAATTGATCCTATGTTTTGTGTGTATGTTATTAACATCTCATGTTATGGTTTTCAAAAAAATAATTATGGTCATGTGATTCTCACCACTTATTCGCCTGAGCTGTATTTAAATAGTCATGCGTGTATCCTGTAAATATTTTTCTGGGGAAAAAAAAGAAATAGTTGTTTACGAAAACCCGGATTTAATTTTTTTAAGTATTATTAATAACAGGTCAAGAGAGTTATTGCACATGCACATCCAGACAAGATGGCGCTATGACAGGTACTTGTCTTCTGTTCGTGATCAGGGCCGTCTTTACAGCAGTAATGCACTGAGGACCCTAACCCTCTATATACTCAAGGCCTTGCGAATGAGGGGGTAAGAGGGCCAGTTACCCCTGGCGCCAATATCAGGGGTCGGCAAACTGGCCTTAAGATAGGTCCGTAATCGTGAGTTAAACGATAAAATCCCATGTACTTTAAGTAGACGGGGCGGCAAAATCGTCTTACTACTGCGCCTTTGGCAACACTTTTCCTAGGATCGGTTGTCTATAGCCTCCTTTTAAAGTAAAGTTATGAAAAGCATTATGGCCTAGGTTGTCCTATGCGTTTTGACCAGTTTCTTTCAGGTCATTTTGTCCAAGGGGGAGTGGGGGTAGTATTTCTGGCGTGGGGGGGGGGAGAGCGGGCCTCTATCAGCACCGAAATTAGGCATTTTGATGCCCAGGGCCAGCTTTTGTCTTCGTTGCCACCGCCATACAAAACCATAAATTCATTCTGGTAGTGGAGCCCCCCTGGTGGTATGCTTTTAGTCTTAACTTAGTTTAGTCTCTAGAATATTTATAGTCCAACTGTGTATACCAAGCTAAAGGAAAATCCTAATTTCGTACGTTCAAAAATAAATCAGTCATTATATTTACTTACATCCAGCGCTTGTTAAAGGTTAAAATGTGTCGGTGCTGTCACTTTAATTGGGAGGGAGAAGAGATTGGGGGCTCCGAACAAAACTGGGGGTAAGGTTTGGAGAGAAGTGCCTCAGTGTGCCCATGCCTTAAGATGGCACCGCTTTTCTCCATTAATTTCACTTCTGAGTACGGAGCAGTGGCGCAGCCAGGGCTATTAACGCCCGTGACTAACATCTTAGTTTAACATGGTCGTAAACACACAATCTTACTTTATTATTTTTTAGATTTATACCTTGGAGAATGAAAGCTTTTTGACGATAGTTATCCCCCTTTAAGAAGTATCCAACTCGTGATTCGCATTTGCATATTAATTTTGGAATGTGCCGATAATATCATGGGATAAAACTGAGAAACGTGCTGTCCGCTGACATTTAAATCAAATTACATTGCCTTTAAATAGTCATATGCAATACGTAAAGCAAGGTGATTTTAAAAAAAGTCAGTCTCCTTGAAACGCTAGGCCCAGTGGGCCAATGCCTTAAGACGGCTCTGAATATGTGATACTTGTACCGTCTCTTTCACAGGTAAAGATTTTTAATAGGCGCAGCCAAATAGTTGTTGTCTATTTAACTGTAGCCTAATAATAAGGGGTCTAATAATGGGTGTCCAATAATCCGGTTCTAATGGTCGGGTTGTAATAATGTTTACCAGATTTGGATTTATTAGACAGTTTCTAAAAGTAAAAGATCCAGATAACATTAATTTCTTGATGTCTTTGTTGGTATGTCTTCACTGCAAGGTCATGGTAGTCGCTTACACTTAATAGAATATTCTGAAATGACTTAATTCATCGCCGCCAGTGTAAACACCAAAGAAGTCTCGATAGTTTTGGACAAAATATTCCTAACGAAGTTTTATTCTCTTGTTGTTGATCTCGACAAGTTGGCCTTCAAAAAGTTCACAAATAGCTTCAGACACTGGGACGGCAGTACATCCTATTCTCTTGGAGACGTGGTAGCGATGACCTCTGAACTCTGGGGAGATCTTAAATGGAGAACTCGCAGCCTTCGAGAATCTTGAGCTGATGTTTGAAGTTTTCAAGCTGATGTGCTTAGGTCAACAGGGCCAAAAGGGGGACCAAAAAGTTTAGGGAAAAAATGAAGTAATGGTCAAGAAAGAGTCGACTCTTCGGTGTTTACACCGGCGGCAATGATGAAGATCATGAAGAGAAACAGCAAAAACCAGCAGGGTTTTAAGACCTGGACAACCAACAAATAACGTATAAGGAAATTTTTCAGTTTTATGAAAAGGACACGGCTGGAGAATGGATGACTTCCGTTGTTACCATGACAACTCCAATATCAGAGTTATGTTTGAAGAACCGATGTACTAGGCGCTTACAGAGCAACTATCAGAGAATGCTTATCATAGTCTTTGTAGATTGTTTATTGGCTTATAACTTTTGTGGAGTACATTTGTAACTTTTGAGGAAAAGTGCAAGATTTCGACCTGAGTTTCTTTTCTTTCAGCCTTATATTGAAGATGTTGACATGTAAAATGCTTATAACTGTAGACAGATTTAACTACCGCATAATAATTGTATACGATATCTTACTACGGGCATCAAATGTGCAGAAATTGCAGGTTAGATGAAAGCAAAACTTGACTGAGTGAACCATGGATTTTATCTATCGATACGTTGACTACTTTGCATCTGAACGTTTCCCATTGCATGAGTTGTTTTTTTTAGGCAGTCCGTTGTATGGCCTTCCAACATGTCCCTTCCATCTTACGTGTTATTTCCTCTTTTTTTTTCTTCTTTTTTTTTCTTCGTTTTTTCTTCCTTTTGTGTGTGCATTGTTCGTAAGTGAGTGTCGATTCTGCGTGAGCCAACCTGTTGAAGGGCTCTTGATCAGGGAATGTGCTCTGCCATGATCAGACGGGCAGCGGCGGCCATAGACAGCTCCTTGCTCACTGTAAGAATCTGATTCTGAGACAACAACAACAACAAAAACTCTCTCATACGACCTAGATTCTTCCACATGATTCATATAAATCCCATAATTCGTTTCATATATTGTTTTTATATCCTGTTGGCACATCCTGTCACATTAAGCGTGAACCTGTTGGCACATCCTGTCACATTAAGCGTGTGTCCTGTATCATTTCTAGAACCAAAAAAAAAAAGAAAAGAAATAGGTTCATAAGAGAACCCGCATTTCAGCGAGTATATAAGTATGTATAAGAGTCAGGAGGACAGTTGGGTGTTGCCTATAGCCTATCAGGATGGTGTCAATCAACTGTCTTCTGTGCGGTGTACTTTTAACGGTCTGTTTCACAGGTAAAGGACATTTGAATTTTATAACGTCAAACTTTCGGCGTTTTAAAAGTTGTGGCTTAAAAGCCGGGGTAGAGTACTTGCGTTGAAACTATTTTGACAAGACTACGGTACATAGATAGTAAAAACTATTTGAATTCTGGGAAGACATAAGAAAAATTTCTTAAATCTGCAAAAGAAACTATCAAGTATTGAGGCCATTCACTGGAGTCAGGGTTACAACCTTTCCTTGTGTGTGTGGTTTAAATATCTTATTCGATTTTTTTTTTTTATAATTCTCGAGTTTTCATTCGGTTGTCGTCTTAATTTAACCATCTCAGATTTAGTTGCATATAAAATGTGGAATGGTGAAACCAGGGTTTGTCAAATAGTCGAGTGAAAGGACCATTTATATGGCTTACATATGTTACATAGCGAGTTCATGATCTCAAGTAATATCTCAAATTCACCAACACTTTTTTAATTCACAATGACGGGTGTAGGAAGAAAGGTGCATGTGTGTAAACTGTATGTGTGATCGGTTATCCTTTTATGAAATTCGGTTAGACCGCGCAGGGTGTGCTCTGAAAATATGCAATTTTTCAATTGTTGTCAGCCCCCCCCCCCCCCCGAGATGGTGTCACCAGATGCGACCCGCAACCCGCGCCCCCTAGCTACGCCCCTGACTCGAGGCATACTTACAGTTTTGTTACATTTTTGTTACATTTACGTTCAAATTGTATAAAGATGTCAGCAGTCTTTTTTTGTGTCTTGAACATCTTTTTGAAGGGAAATACTTTTTTAATAATCTATTAAATGAAGCAGTTTAAACTGATAAATAGTTTAAAGTAAAAATTATAAACTAATATTACTATTGAGAAACAACTTTAATTAAATTTGTTTAAACACAACCAGGTCAAGGTAATCTAAATTCACCTAGCATATCTATTGTTGATTGCTGATTAAGGCCAGAATGGTGCAAAACTAAATGCACGTGTGCACCAAAATGAATCCTTGCATTTTGAATTTATATTAAAAAAACGTGGACGGCCTAACAACCCCTCCCTTAACCCCACCACCAGTTTTGTTCGTGGACCCTCGGCGCCCTCAATTTCGGATCCCTCTCCGATTAAAGTGGCCGAACCGGCACCTTTTTTTTTTTAAGCTAAAAGATAGCTCGAGATGATTTATATGTAATTGTAATGATTGTCTTGAACCGACAAAAAGTCGGACTCGTTGGATTCTTGTGCTTTTCATGTGCTACGGGCGGATAAATTCAGGACTACCCTGGGCGTCACTCTGTAAGTAATCCTCGGTTCATAGCTGAGCGTATTTAATTGTAGGTTAAAACTGTAGTGCCAGATTGTTTTTGAAATACGTACATAAATGACGTAGGTAATCACATTTGTCTGCACCTTCTCGTCAATAATGCTAAATTAAAATTTTTTTGGGGTTGTTTTTTGGTTGCGAGCTATTTTTAAACAACTTTTGAGAGTCGGGTCGTCATTTCAGTTTTTTCAGAAAGGGGGGGGGGGGCAAAAAAACAACAACTTGGTCGACTTGTTAAGTTGTTTATTACTGGAGGAGCCACAGTACATAGCCATTTAAATAAAACCTGCAAATTCAGTGGGGGGGGGGGGGGGGGGTAGGAGCAAAAGCCCCAGTCTACCCAAATGACGTCACCGCTTGAGAGGAGTCTAGTTTTGGTGGTTTTGTTTGATTGATCGTTTTTTGACATCCTTGTTGCCAATAATGGATATGAAGTCTAGGTGGCGGCCAAAACCCTTGCCGATGATTTTAGCTACGCGGCACTGAGAAAGCCGCTCCTAGGCGACCGTTTCGTCCCCACTTACGTCCCGACCGGACAACTCCCTGACGATGTGAGGGGGGGGGGTAACGCAACACCTTTCCCCGGAGAGGAAGCTAAGCCGTTCAGACTCAAGGAGAGTGGACCGCGTACACTTTAAACGCAGCGTTTTTAGTCGATCCAACATCCTCCAGGCCAGGGGAGGGGGGTTACCGGCGTGCTTCCGCACGGCCTGGGGGCGGGGAGACCCGGCATCGGCCCCTGTGGGGGTGTGCCGGGGGTGGGGTATTAAGAGCTCACGCTCGACGACCCACCGACGCCATCTCCAATTTTACGTTATTAGTAAAGAAATTCTAGAAATTGCGTCCCTTAATATCATTCTTTAAAACAAATAGCGTCATTCGAAGGTAAGCAACCTTTTCCCCATCTAATAAGTTTTTTTTTTTTAAATCAAGGCCATACTTGAGGGAGACAAGTAGTGTTGGCTAAAAATAGCTCAACATTGAAGTGAAAAAATAGACGTAGACTATACTATAAAAATATGTTACAGTATCCAGTTTCTGTTCATTCTACTTATATCAGCCATTTTGCTATTTTATTGATAAATTATCATTCTTGCAATTTCTGCACACCTCCCTTTTTTTCCTTAAAAAAAAGAGCGCCCAAAATAATATATATATTTTTTTTTTAAATAGTATATTGTTTCTTGCCATTTCGTACCACTGACAAAATGTAATATGTATTTTGAATGCAATTTTAGGCTTCGTGCCCTCTTCACCAAAGGTAAAATAAAACAGCAGACTTCTAGTCTATCACAGATCATTTTCAATTATGTTGTCGTTGTTTTTTTTTTAGCACTTTCTGACGCACAGTATTACCCAAGTTTCAAAAATGAACTAAGAGATATCAAATCAAGACTAAGTCAGCTTGAAAACTTTAAGGCAAACATCAGCACGCGATTCTCGAATGCTGCGAGCGCTCTATTTGAAATCTCCCCAGAGTTCAGAGGTCATCGGTATTATCTCTCCAAGAAAACCGGAAATGCTGCTATCCCAGTGTCTGAAGCCATTTGTGAGCTTTTTGGAGGCTACCTCGTGGAGATCAACGACGAAGGAGAGTATCGCTTTGTTCAGAATTTCATTCGAAACCATACATCAGACTTCTTTGGTGTTTACACCGGCGGCAATGATGAAGATCACGAGGGGACGTGGGTCTATCGTCACAGCAAGGAACCAGCACTGTTTCTAGACTGGACTCCTGGACAACCAACGAATGACATTGACGGCGATTGTTTGATTTTATTGAACCGGAACGACTGGAGGATGGACGACTTCCGGTGTTACCACGTAAACTCGGATACCAGATTTATGTGTGAAGTGCTGGTGTAATTCATTTTTACAGAGCAACACTAACTGTCAGACACTACAATAATTTGATTAAGAATATTTTGGTTTCGATATTATTTTTGAGTAGCCTGAAATAGCAAAAGTATGAGTTTGACGATTTTAAAAATAAATGAATAATTTTAATTGCATTATTTTTAATAGCCTTAGAAAATAGGAGCCAAAATGATCAATAAATTGATCGTGGGCCCTTAAGATATAGAAGGAGAAGAAGAAATAAATAGAAATGATGGATTTCATAGTGCTCAGTGCGTATTAAAATATGTGGATGGCCCAATCCGTGTGTAGGTGTCGGAGAAGGATGTGGCTTGTGGACAAGAGGGTTGGGTAGGATAAGTGGCATGTGGACATGACGGTTGGGTAGGATAAGTGGCATGTGGACAAGAGGGGTGATGGAAAAAATGCGGACGTCATTTATGAACTTATTTGTTTGAAATTGGTGGAAAAAAATTATAATTGAGGGACATAAATTTTGATAAGATGTTGACATTTTTAAATCTTGATTTATCTCAAACATTGTAACACTGGACAGTAGGTTAAACAGACATTGATATTGAGTTATCTGTTTTGTTAACCCTGATAGGAGATTAAACATATACTGAAAATGAGTTATCTGTCTTGTTAACCCTGTTAGCTGATACTGGCCTCTCAAATAGTCAGCTGACTGATGTTACTTCTCTTTCGCCAAATCAAGGTAAAATGGGTGAACACATTCACTGTGATGATGGACCTCTCCTACATTAAATCAATGTAGAATAAACAGATATAACAGAGTGGGTGACAGCTTTATTAGAGATATAACATGGCAGGTGACAGCTTTATTAGAGATATAACAGAGTAGGTGACAGTAAGATTGATTAGAGATATAACAGAGTAGGTGACAGTTAGATTTATTAGATATATAACAGAGTAGGTGACATTTAGATTTATTAGAGATATAACAGAGTAGGTGACAGTTAGATTTATTAGAGATATAACAGAGTAGGTGACAGTTAGATTTATCAGAGATATAACAGAGTAGGTGACAGTTAGATTTATCAGAGATATAACAGAGTAGGTGACAGTTAGATTTATTTGAGATATAACAGATTAGGTGACAGTTAGATTTATCAGAGATATAACAGAGTAGGTGACAGTTAGATTTATTAGAGATATAACAGAGTAGGTAACAGTTAGATTTATCAGAGATATAACAGAGTAGGTGACATTTAGATTTATTAGAGATATAACAGAGTAGGTGACAGTTAGATTTATTAGAGATATAACAGAGTAGGTGACAGTTAGATTTATTAGAGATATAACAGAGTAGGTGACAGTTAGATTTATTAGAGATATAACAGAGTAGGTGACAGATTTATTAGAGATATAACAGAGTAGGTGACAGTTAGATTTATTAGAGATATAACAGAGTAGGTGACGGTTAGATTTATTAGAGATATAACATGGGAGATGACAGATTTATCAGAGATATGACAGAATGTCAGAATTTCAGGATAAGTCTTAAAAATACATTCTTTTTGCAGGTTCGGGATTAAATTTATGTTTGCTATTTCAATTGTATTTACACATTCTAATTCACACATCTAATAATATGATTTATTATTACTCAATTATACCTCCGTGTGTGTGTGTTATTTGTATTATGTATACATATTATAATCACATATTTAATTATATGTTTTATTCAAAATCATTTACATTGTTATGCATGAATCCAATAAACATGAACATTACAGACTAAATAACAATTAATGGTAAAAAGCGATTGTCGTTTGATTCTCACATCTGATCTCACCCACACATCTCACATGATAAAGGAAAAATGAAAAGCAAGGGACATTGCATTGTAGTACTAGTTAAAAAAAATGACAACTTTAATGAGACAAAGCCTCAATGTGGTCAGTGGTAATATTGGGGGAGTGGTTCGATGTGGCTTTGAACAGATGGATATAAATAAAATCTTTTGTTCCCCACTCTTGTCAGGCTCACCCACTACCCTATGCACCAGTACGCCTAGGTTTAATATCCAAAATCTCCCCCCTCCCCCCTCCTTTTTTTTCCAACTATCCCGCAGTGCGTAACTTATCAATTTATGAATCAATATAAAACTTATTTATACATTAAATATCGCCTTTATGTTCTTACAATTATTATAAACTTCCTAACATTCCGCACTGTAAATTTCCATTGAAGCTCCTGTCGACATTCGCAACCTGGATTATTTTTTCCGGATTTTTGTTTTCATTAACCAATTCTTTAACAACTAAACATGTAAATATAAACAACATAAGGTAGAAAATATAGTAAAATAAAATGTTCCTAACAATCGGAGGAAAATCAAGATACATGACTTTCCGTGCCGTAATTTGTTACAAGAATGCTGAACTATGTAAAAGTAAAAGTCTAAATTGAATTAATTTATTTTATTAAAACAAGGAAAACACAAATACAAATAGTTGGGGAGAACTCAGGAACCAACTCATCTGGCATCAGTTTAAATTAATTCAAATTATATCTTCGAATATGACTGCGGTGAAATGTCACAAAAAGCTATTGTTTTACAGTATTCAGACAAAGCAACGCTACACTTTAAAAATAAAATTAAAGAAAAGTTTAGCAAAGGTATGACATGACGAATGACCTCTCCTCAAATCTGCAGTATAAAATAATACCGCAGTCCCGGTTACCATAGAACTTCCAACTTCGAAAATAGTCAAATATCGTTTCAGAACAGCTGGCTCCTTCACAATTTTAACAATGTACAAAACTCTACCGTAATACTAAATAAATAAACATTCGGTATAATTTTTAAAATCACAAATCGCATGTCTAAAAAAGTCACGCCCCAAAGAAGTTGACTGACGTTTAGATATTTATTAGATCCAGTGCTTGATTGAAAATAAAAAAAAAATGCCAATCAACGCCACTTTTTTTTTTATAGACAATGATGGTGTATGAGCATGGGCGCCCGC